ATGTTATAAGTGTCAAGCATTTACCCCCGTAAGGTGAAGTGTGTAAAAAATCATTATCTTATTATGAGTTATATGTCATGTTAATATTTAGAGGTAAACAACAGATATCACATCATTCTACTTTTCAATACAACTTTTATTAGGCCTTGGGCTCCAAACTTTTTTTTTTATTGGAACCTTTATGCAATGGATGTTTAGATTTGAGACTCAAGTATTACATCTCAATGCTCACCTCATAAAATTTGCTCAGATTTCTAAATAATTATAATATATACATATATGATTAGCCAAACATGTAAAAAGAACTTTTGTATTGAGGATTTGCTAGAAATCAATGAGCACTGAAAGTTGGCATCTTGGTCTTTCACATGAGTGTTTTTATGAGCCGCCACTTGGAAATTTCACATGTATTGTGCAATGATTTAAAAGTCTGATTCGAGATTTTTCATAAGCACAAGACCTTTTATTTAATATTTCTTCCCACTGAAAAGAAAGATTTTTTTTAACTAAAGCAAGTTATTAATGCACTAATTGCTTTTCATATTGTAGTAACAATTTGATTTTAAAAAAAAAACTATCAATATTCTTTTAAAGTAGATTGTAGGAGGAATAACATTGAACTTATTCTTGATAAATCAATTTCATCTTTAAAAGATGCCTGGGCATCTAGTCTACTTTGTTAATAGAGGTACGTAACCCAATATGATCGAAAGATTTTATCAGTAACTATAAGTTGGGTTGTCTAGGAAGGTCTTGTAAGCTTAGGAGAATGTTTGTTTAGAGGGGTATTTTTAATTCAGTCATAAGTTGTCAAAGAGTTTTGTACTCTATCAAACTACCCTATGATTTATCACTCAAAGGGCAGAGCCACTAGAGAGCATATACATTGCAGTCACGATCATAATAAAATGATTTCATATTAAGGCAAATCAATTGGTCAGAGGGCTCTTATTGTAATTAATACTTTTGTGGAGCTATTTGTAGCCAAAGCACATACAAAGGATTAGAGTCACGTCCTTATTTTCATTTCGAGAGTGAAAATAATGATATGCTTGATATGATATCGAATCTTTGTGAGCTTATGTTAATCTAAAATTTATTATGCTTGATCAATCATTGAGTATTGCTCTGATTTTTTTGTGGTAGAATTTTATTTGAGAATTTTTTATTTTTTATTTTTTATTTTTCTTTATCCTTTATTTATTTTTTACCTTGATTTGAGATTTTAATGATTTATATTAAAATTAAAAACATTTAAAAAATAATAACCTTTTATATTAAGAATCTATATTAATGTTGTGATAATGTGGGTAACATACTTGAAGTGTTTATATGTGTAATGTAGGAGCACTAATTTTTGAAAATAGGCCCCTCCAATTGAGATTCATTTTCAATATGATAATCATTTGAGTATTTGATCGATTAGTTTGAACCTTATTGACCTTATTGACCCGACTTTTTATAGGATTAGGTTCATAGTCTTTAAGTTCATTCATACATTGTTTGCATTGCAAGCCATGTAGACTCTAACTTCTGCATAAAGGTTAAGGCATGTAGGTTGAACTCATTATTGCATTTCATAAGTTGAAAATGAAGCTGAAGTTTCTTCTTCTTATTTCATTTTTATAATATTTTCTTTTCCAAATGCTTTGAAAGTCATATTTGAATGGTTACAAAGATAAACTTCTTGAAATTAAAGAAAAAGCATTTAATTCTTAGTCTTGATGATGAGCTTGTTGCATTAGATTGAAGATGTGAATTTACGCATCATTCCCTAGCATTAGACTTGTCAACTCTAGCTCTTGTAATGAGAAAGATTACACTAGCTAAGTGGGACCCAATCTCATCAACTTCAATTCTTATAAGTTAGAAGATCACACTAAGTAGGACTTATGACTGCCATATAAATAAGATAATATGGCTGAGAACGTGCATAATTTGGTCGCTTTGATTTTGATTTTGAAAAGAAGAGTTTGTATTTAAAATTAGTAATAGATATTTCAAAAGTTTTGCATGCTTCCTAGGATAGTTCAATTAGGATCAATTTTATTTTAGCTAGTGCAACATTTTCAGATATCAGTTTGAACAGTAAGAGTCACTGAAGCACGTGTAGTTGACTTGAATTCATTTGTTCGGACAAATTTTAGGGGACTTGCACACTTTTTATGCATCTTACATGACTTTTTGAGTTGAGATATTTAAATTAAAAAATTGCGTGACGAAATACGTGTAAGAATTAAAATTATATAAATTTAATTTATTTTTATAAACTAACATGCTTCAATTTTACATGATTTCACCTGTATTTTTCCTTAAATTTTACATATTATTTTCACTTATTTATCATAGATTTACACCTGAGAAAGGTTTTTCTTGATATTGTGCATGTTATAAGTGTCAAGCATGCAAAATGGAGTCCAAACATGCCATATAGTATTGTCTGGCGTAACCACGCCTGATCTAGGTGTGACCACATCAGGGTTATGTGTGACCACGTCGTGGGACGTCTAGAACTCATATTTTGCTGGCTTTCTTGCCGATTTTGAACCTATTGATGGATTTGGAAAGCTTGGATGCCTATTTTGGATCCTTAATGTAAATCTAACTATCAAAATATGTTTTTTTGTCATGAGAAAAGGGGATTTTTGGCCTCTTCATGGCTTTTGGATGAGAGAAGGCAGCTTGGGCACCAAAGTTGAGGGTTTTTTCCACCTTTCTCCCTTTGTATTTTCTTTAAGTTTCTAAGAGGTTATTGTATGAGAGAGAAATTGGTTGTTGTATAAGAGGGAACAAATCATTTTGTAAGTGTTTACTATTAAGTTTTTCTCGCAATAATGGTTTTGATGAGATGTTTTTCTGTTGTTCTTTCTATCATACGTAAGCTAAACTTTCTTTCTCGCCTCTGTGTTTTTATGTTTTTCGCATATGTTTTTTTTTCTCTATATCATTTTCGTTGTTGTGTTAACTATAAATTTTTATTTACTCCTAATCTGATCAATTAGGATTTTAATATATTTCATGATCTGTGACTCCTACCTGTTGCGCAAAGGAATGAAATGATTAATGAAAGAATCTGAATAACAATAAACATATTTTATACGGGTTTTGCAACCTAGAAATGGGATCATAACAAATTCGCGAGATGTGAGGAAGCATCAACTTTATGGATTCTAGCCTTCTTTTGATCTAGACATATGCATAAGGAGGACCTTTTATCCCTGTTGACAACAATCACATAGGGGAAAGTTTAGGAAAATCACAAATCACCACATTATCGAAATCACAGAAGCACGGGCCTCACGTACCTTAAAAAATAGTAAGATTTATCTGTCGATATTCTTCATCTTCTCAGAACACAGTATCTTTCATTTACACTTTTAAGAAGGATTTTAGGAAACCAACTCCTGTTGTGATCACGGTAAACTAGGTTTACAAGTTTAGTAAACTAGAGATTCGCTTATCAGAATAGTTCTTAGTCCTTTCCTCTTGGGATCGATATGCGATAATCTTTAACTGCATTATGACCTGACACGTATACTTGTGTTGTGTGACCACTTCACGGTTACTTTTGGTTTGTCAAGTTTTTAGCGTTGTTACTAGGGAAATGTGTTACGAAGAATTCTGATTTTAGGAGAACTTTAGATGAACTACTTAGAATCTCGGTTTACCAATTTTTATTTTTCTCTTTCTGTTTATTTCATATTTGTTTACATATGTATTATCGTTGTATTTCTTTGCAGGTGCTGGAAAAATTTAAAAACTGGAAAAAAATTATAAAGCTAAAAAGCCAAAAAAAATAGGCCCCTCCAATTGAGATTCATTTTCAATATGATAATCATTTGAGTATTTGATCGATTAGTTTGAACCTTATTGACCTTATTGACCCGACTTTTTATAGGATTAGGTTCATAGTCTTTAAGTTCATTCATACATTGTTTGCATTGCAAGCCATGTAGACTCTAACTTCTGCATAAAGGTTAAGGCATGTAGGTTGAACTCATTATTGCATTTCATAAGTTGAAAATGAAGCTGAAGTTTCTTCTTCTTATTTCATTTTTATAATATTTTCTTTTCCAAATGCTTTGAAAGTCATATTTGAATGGTTACAAAGATAAACTTCTTGAAATTAAAGAAAAAGCATTTAATTCTTAGTCTTGATGATGAGCTTGTTGCATTAGATTGAAGATGTGAATTTACGCATCATTCCCTAGCATTAGACTTGTCAACTCTAGCTCTTGTAATGAGAAAGATTACACTAGCTAAGTGGGACCCAATCTCATCAACTTCAATTCTTATAAGTTAGAAGATCACACTAAGTAGGACTTATGACTGCCATATAAATAAGATAATATGGCTGAGAACGTGCATAATTTGGTCGCTTTGATTTTGATTTTGAAAAGAAGAGTTTGTATTTAAAATTAGTAATAGATATTTCAAAAGTTTTGCATGCTTCCTAGGATAGTTCAATTAGGATCAATTTTATTTTAGCTAGTGCAACATTTTCAGATATCAGTTTGAACAGTAAGAGTCACTGAAGCACATGTAGTTGACTTGAATTCATTTGTTCGGACAAATTTTAGGGGACTTGCACACTTTTTATGCATCTTACATGACTTTTTGAGTTGAGATATTTAAATTAAAAAATTGCGTGACGAAATACGTGTAAGAATTAAAATTATATAAATTTAATTTATTTTTATAAACTAACATGCTTCAATTTTACATGATTTCACCTGTATTTTTCCTTAAATTTTACATATTATTTTCACTTATTTATCATAGATTTACACCTGAGAAAGGTTTTTCTTGATATTGTGCATGTTATAAGTGTCAAGCATGCAAAATGGAGTCCAAACATGCCATATAGTATTGTCTGGCGTAACCACGCCTGATCTAGGTGGGACCACATCAGGGTTATGTGTAACCACGTCGTGGGACGTCT